CGATCTTTTGTGACAAGAGCAAAAGAAACTTTCAAAAATGCATCGCTGTGACTTTCTTAAGCGCTAGTCCATGGTAATAAGATAAGTAACTCATGTTAAGACAATCTTATCCTATGAAGCCTGTTTTCAGTACCGTCATTCGGGGCTACTTTGTGCAGGATTTCGCAGTTTTTGAACTTTGACATGTAAAAAAACTATGTTAATTCAAACTTTAGTAAAATTTATCGATATTATATTCATAACTGGACTCAGACGAGTGAATTTGATCAATATTGGCATTATTTGTATGTAATATTTACGAATAATAAGTCAAAACATACCTTGCACAAAGTAGCCCCCAAATGGGGCTACTTTGTGCAGCGATAGGAATTCAGTTTAATAATCATGTTTTTAGTAAAATATTGATATAAAATTGTTAAAAAAGTTAATTGTTGACATTTTTAAAGACAAAAACATCAAGATATGTAAAGATATTAGTTTGAAAATAATTTTCAGCGTTAAAAAACCATTTTTTTTGAAGAATTTTTTCTTAAAAAGAATGTTTATTTCAAAACATTTGAGTTTAAACAAAAGGAAACCATATACATTTTTAAACATTGAAATGGATGAAATTTTAAAAATAATAATTATTACATATTCATTAACATTTATAATATTGTTAAATTTGAACATAACATCCTTGAATGAACATGACAGAACTTGCTCTTCAGTTTCTGTCAAAATCACCTGATGTCCTATAAAATATATTTTTATGTGTTAAATCGTTTGATTAATTCATTAGAAAAATCTTTGTAGAAGAAAAATAATAGTTTACCAGGAAGTTTCACGTGTTTCTTGTGAATTTTATTAGAGATAGTATTTCTGTGGATTTTGTACTTCCGAGAAGCTTCTGCAATCGACATACCACCAGCAACTGCTTGCAAACATTGTTGCAGCTTTTCTAAAGTGTAATCACGGTAGTTTCTCGTTCCAGGTATTTTTTTATAACGTCTGACCATTTTTCTGTCGAAAAGAAAAACGAATGAAACTTTGCACAAAGTAGCCCCAAAATGCATTTTTTTTCATTTTCCATTTATTTTTTATTAATTTTCAAATTTTTTTAACACTAACATGATATAATTGTTTATTAATATATAAATAAAAAATTTTGCACTTACAACAATTTTTTAATCAACGTCTTTGCATTTCACAGCTAAAGTTTCCACGCACACTTTTCGACATCCGACGTCCTCGGAAAGTTGTTGGCATTGGATGAATGAAACATACTCTGAGATTGTTTTAAAATTCGAAAAACTTTTTGTAGTAATAGAAGAGACTTCTATCTTCAAATTCCACACATTTTTAACGTGAAAGAAACATAATACTGAATAGCAGCACTTGAAAAATGTCAAATTCGAATTTGCACAAAGTAGCCCCCGCTGCACAAAGTAGCCCCGAATGACGGTATTGATTTTGAAAATGATGAAATAGATATGATTTTTAATTCGTTTATTTAATTAAGACTATTTTATTTTTATTTCATTGGCGTTGATGAACTACTAACATAGGTAGATTTAAGGCATGAACATTGATTGACAACTTAGGAAACAAGAATGTGACTTTTCGAGTGAGACTGAAACACATTTTATGTTTATATTAATTTCAAAACTCTTAAAAAACTTCTAACTGTTAGTCCAGCTGCAGTTTTTAAAAACTGTATCGAAACGAAATAAAGCTTGAATTAAAGAGCATGGTAGAAAACCTTGGAGAGGGTAGAAATTTACCACTACTGCTGCCCCGTGGTAAAATGTGCATGTTAAAAGCTTTAGTTCATCTACTTATGAAATAATAAAATTTTTTAAATCTCGTGAGTACTTGATGCAACTGTTAAGGATGTTTATTCAAGGCACCGAAATTATGCACCACATGAAATTATGCTTTGCGAATAATTTGTCATTTTTAAAACTGTTGAGAGTTTGCAACAGTTACTCATGACTGCAAGGTCAAGTTTAGCAAATCCAAACAACACCTTCTAGAAGTAAGAAGGCCTCAGCACCAATCAATTTAGTAATCTGACGTAACAAACAAACTGCGCAGTGGAGGCATTAAGAAAGTTGTCACTAAGTTCGGGCTACTAAGCTGTACAGTGAGGAAAATTACGGAAGATATCATTACGTTTGGACTACTAAAGGACCAAATTTCCTGTTTATGGTAACCCGTGCTGAGGCCTTCTCTCTTCTAGGAGGTATTTATCTAAAGCCAGTGCTGTCTATGCTTATTATGAAAATGACATAAACGTCAATATAGAGAAAAGCCACAGTTTTGTGAAAATGATGTCTCATTTTTGTAACATTTAAAAACCTATTCCAATGCTGCATTATCTGGGATCATAAAAATTTACAAAAAAAAATGAGAATAAGACAGTGATTTTGAGAATTTTCATCCAGGTAAAAAAATTTCGCCAGATTGGCGATTTTCAAAAAACGTTTAATAACTTTTAAAATATTTAAGTTATTCGTCCGTTCTAAGGCCCAGGTAATTCTTCACAGTAAGATAATGTATAGAGTGAGCCGCGATGGCTCAGGGGATAGAGCGTTCCCCTTCCAACGAGGTGAACCGGATTTCGATCCCGGAGATGGCTGGTCGATACGAATTCCGCATCCGACTTGCACCGACCACAATGCTGACGTGAAATATCCTCAGTGGCTGACGGATTATGGGTTAGAGTCCCCTTGCCGTCAGGCAAACCGTGGGAAGTTCTCGTGGTCTTCCTCTCCATGTAACGCAAATGCGGGTTAGTTCCATCAAAAAGTCCTCCACAAAGGCAAATTTCGCCCAACACTTGATCCAGGAGTTCCCTTGTCTTCTGGATTTAGTTAAGGCTACGGAGTTGAACGTCCGTAGTCGTAAACCCAAAAATTGGGTCGGCTGTTCAACGATGGTTATAAAATAAAATAAAATGTATATAGTTTAAAATCATCGTTTTGCTTCTGTGAGGCACTTAAACTGTGACTCTTATTTTTCTTGGCCGTGGAGTTTTGAAAAACCACATTAAGCTTTCTTGTTTTATTCAATATATAAATTATTATTTTTTTATTTAAATAAGCTTTTTTGCATAGTTTTAACTTTTGAAAAACCAAAATAAATATCTTATTATTGTTATTTTTTAATTAAATATTTTAATTATTTAAAAAAATTAATAAAATTTTTTTAATTTAATTAACTGCTTTTTTTATTGTAATAAATATTTTAAGTTTTAATTAAATTTAATTATGAAAATGTAAGCAAAATTACATTATAATTCCTGTTGAAAAATTATGTGTTGCCAACAAAGTTTGTACATTCAATGACATAATCTTCTTTTTTAGTAACATACAATTCTTTTCAATGTATCTCTTTTTCTGTCTTAACGAGAATTATGATGTAATTTTGTTTATGTTCTCAAAATTATATTTAATGAAAACTTAAAATATTTGTTAAATAATAAAATAAATTCTGCAAAAAGACAATTGCAAATAAATTTTCTTAAAATAATTCCTACATTTTAATTTTAAAAAAATAAAATAAAATATCGATCAATTTTTTTAAAAAAGCTCAAGTTTGTAAAAAAAATTTATTTAAATTGAAAAAATAATAATAATTTTTACATTGAGTAAAACATACTAAATAGTTATCATATCAGAAAGAAAGAAAAATTGTCTCAGCTGGGATTTAAATCTCTCAGGTAGAACATTTGTGCCACGAACCCAGAGAAGTTAAAAAAAATTATTATTTTATAAATAAATGAACTAAAACTTTAGAGGAGCATATTTTATGACAAAAGCAGCAGATGTGGTAAATTTGTCCTTGTTTTCAGGCATGATTTTTAAGTTTAATTTCATTTGAATACATTTACAGATCCTGACTTCCCTTGTAAGTGTTAAAATTAGTTACAAATTATGTCAACAGCTGGAGCTACTGAAAAACTGTAATAGAATATTTTCAAAAGAACTATCATTTGCAGCAACAATGTGGTACAGACTTAAGGCAAGAATAACAGACATCTATGCAAATATTCAGAAGGAATCATCTAAGCAAAAAATGTATTGTTTTTATTACTAAGAAAACATCACCTGATATAGTAACTAATTTTGAAACCCGAAGATGAAGGAGAGTTTGTTTTCTAAGGATAACATAGCAAACCATACATTTCTATAGCATTATTCTTTAATTTATTTTGCAAATTGTCAGCCCTTCCTCTGACTTTTACATTTGGAGCAGCATCGCCGATTATGATTCTTATGCCATTATACATTATCAATATTCAACACAACTTAAAACTCTTGCTCAATAAAGATCTTTAGAAGGAAAATTCTAATTTCTCATAAAATAAATACGGGAGAATCATTTAAAGATTAATTCTAATAAACAAGTATTCTTATTTCTTTAATTCATTCAAAGAGTTTATTAGCTTAAAAAACAATCAAAATGCAAGAAGTTTGCAGCGAATTTTAGATTGCTGTAAAGCAAGAAAATGACTGCTTTTAGTATAAATGGAATATTTTGTTAACAAGATAATTATGCAATAATAAATTTAATTATAAGTTTTTAAAGCAATGTCATAACAAAATTTTTAAAACAATATTTACGTTTGAATTTAAAACCAATGTTAATATGCTATAGAGGAAAAACGCTAATCATATAGCTATTCTAAACTATTCCATTCTAAGACACTTTTCAAACTTCAAAATAGAAAAAAGTACAATATAGTTTGACTGATCAAAAAGTTAAATAAAAAAAACAATGAATTTTATGTATTTCCTGAAAGAACATATATGGCATAGAATTAGGTAGAATAGTGTGCTATGAGAAAATGTTTAATTTAGACTTTTTTATGTTTTTTTTTCTCTAAAAGACATTATACTATAACAAATTAAAATGACAAAACAAGCTTATTAATGACTCATATCAACTTTAACAAAAATATTTATTTATTTATACAATTAAATAAAAATTATTTCAATGTAAAAATATTTACAATTAAATCTCCATATTGTTAAGTACAGTAAAATACTTTTTTTTAAGTAAATTTAATAAATAAATAATTCAATTGGAAATACAAAATAATTCCCTTTAACGTTTCAAGCTAGGGTAACTCGTTTTAAGCTTTCAACAACATTAGTCACAGGTTCCCCACTTAAGCCATTCTGAAAGTTTTGAAACCTGAAATATTGATCATTAACATTAATAACTTATTTTCAGAAGTTATAATATACAACAATATAATACAGATATAATAATTACATAAACAGCGGTAGCACTCTTCAAAAAACACAAAACTTGACATTTTTGGTGAATATTTTTTTTTAATGAGATTTAGTGGCAATAGATGAAATATTTATTAAGAGTACTATTTTCAGAGTTTCCACTCATTTTCAGAAAAAAAATTCCCTGACTTTTCCAGATATATCAGATAAACTTCTATGAAAATCAGAACCATATTTAATCTATACCATGTTCATCAGAGACCTTTGATTTTTTTTTTATTTGTTATGTCAAATATTAGATTTTGTGAGCAAAAACTCATACGTAATTGAATGAGAATGGAAACATGGAAAAGTTTCACTAAAAAGTGGAATTTTATGAAATAATTGTAATCAATGTTAAAATTATTTAACTTGATAATTGATTACATCTACCGACGATTCTAAGAATGGTTATTTTCCAGGTATAAAATAGGAATTTTCCAGGCTTCTTGCAAAAAAAATTGAGACTTCCCCCGACAATTCCCTGCTTTTTAGAGATAAAATTCAATTTCCTGACAATTTGCAAGTCTTCCCTGACTTGTGGGAGCCCTGTATTTATTATTTCATAAGCTAAATATCAGAAAAAGAAATATTAAAACAAATATACTGTTAAGATGCTAAAACTAAAGTAGAATTGTTTTAAAAAAGCATCTAAAAATAAAAAGAGAGTTTAATAAATTACTCTTTTAAATAAAAAATTTTGTCACACTCTATTGCTTAAAGCCTTAACGATCGGTTAATTTTCAAGAAAACGGCCATAAAAGTGACTATTTTTTTTCATCCCTGAAAATTATATAAAAATATGTGTATGAACAATACATATATTCATTTTTAATTTTTGATTTGTTTTTAGCTTAAAATTTTAAAAAATTAAATTTTTAGGAAAAGCCAACATTTAATTACTATGACTAAAGGTTGGTTTTCCAGCAAGCAAGGAAAATTTTAAAAATATGTGTTTTAAACATTAAAAAAGAATTTTATTAAACTTACGTGAACTTATGAAAACGAAGCATGGGATACAGAAGCCAATGTCACAATCTGGACAGTAGTACCGACTTTTCTTCCTACATCTGTTATTGTTTTCATCTCTTCTGGAGCACCAAAATTAACTATCTACAATTATCTTAAAAGTATCCTGGTACTGCCATCTGGTGTGCAAAATGAGAAATAAAATGCTTTCCAGGCAAAAGTTTAGTAATTAGTTTTATTCTTATTGGTGCGTTACTACTGAACACTCCAACCTGGAAATATCACGGGAGCGAGAAATAGAAGGCGAAACCTCACCCCGCCATTTTCACGGGAGCGAGAAAGAAGAATTAATTGGGTCATATTTCAAATAATTTACATATTAAAAAATACTTACACTTTTTCATAGCGCAGCCTTTCTTGTGCAGAAACAGATGGTTTCATCTCATCAGCAACTTTCAATAAATTATTCTGATTGATGGACACACATAGAGTGCTCCTTCTCCTGGAGTTCCTCCTTTCAAGAATACCATAGAAGTTTTCTTTAATTACAGCAACCTAATGAGTATGGAGTCAAAATTTAATAAGCAATCATTTTTTAAATGCTTAGACAAATTGTGACTTTCTTTTATGTTGGAATTAGATAAGAGGAGGGAGAAAGGGGTAGTTGGCACTCTTTTTACTTTAATTGAATTGTACTTTCAAATTAACATTTTGTCTGCATAGATACCTCATTTCAGCAGTAACAATTAATCATATATTTGACAGTTTGTTAAGTGACTGCTATCATCATGAATGACACTACTGATCATCCTTGGGGGCAGAATTTACCAAATCTTCATTAATTCTAACTTATCAGCAATCCCAATGCAGTTACTTAAACTCTATTACCCTAAGAAATGAACTTAATTTAATATACACAAAGCAAAACTTGTCTATGTAACATTAATAAAAATTTGTATTACTTTGATAACAATCCTGATGCAACTTGAATTAAAGTTGTTCTTCAAAAATTAAAATTTTTTAGTTTTTTTTTTCTTCTCTTTCAATTTTTTTTTTAAATTCAAGTCAAGTAGGTTAAGAAAAATGATTCTGAAGTTTTTGAAAATCAATTCTCTTTCGCTACTAAATCACCAGGCGACTTTTTTTTTAATTCCAGACTATAAAAATTTTTAGATCATACAATAAATCTTCACATCTGCATCAATCCCAATTCGCTGCACCTAATTCATTTTTATTTTGTTTTAAATTTTAAAAAGGAAAAATTATCCCATAACTTTCATCAACAAAAATAGACAAACATTTTCTTTCTTTACTTCTTATCATTCTAATTTTTTTTTCTTACCTCACCTCTACACTTTTTTAACCATTTCCCCTACATTCTCTCTAAATTTGAGATGAAAAATAATCAGCATAACCCGTTGTCATGCTGAAAGTTTCCTGCTACCAGATCACTCATTAATTTCAATACATCCCAGTTATCTTTTAACCAACAAAATCACTCATTAAAAAAAATGGCATTTCTATGCAATATGCAGAGAGTCGTTGAGTGCCAAAACTGCTTCCTTTCATTTTCGTATCAAACATTCGTCATTCAAAAAAGGTTAAAAATAAGTTTTTAGCCCTTTCCCCTACAATAATAATTTTAGAGCTAAATTTTTCAACTGAGTCTTGTATCTAAATAATATGCCATCTTTGAATCTCATAGTGTCTACTTCACTCGAAAAAAAAAAAGACTGAATTCTGTTGTTTATGTCATATAATGCAATGAATAATTACTGCATGTTATGCAATGAATAATTATTAATTACTGCATCATATCATTCAAAATGTTAGTTTACTTGATGTTAGGTGAATCATTTGGACAAGTACATCAGAAATAAAAAAAAGTTAGAAGCTAAAATCATCTGTGGGGTGGAATAAGATTGTCCAGAATGTCTAGAATAGTGCTCACTTCTAAAAGGAGCTACTTTTAATAAGGGAAATGTAGTATTATTTGACACCATAAAGTTCTCATTCTTTTTAATAATGCCAGAGGGCGCTCTATACGCTTTCAGCTGTATCTTGTATCCAAATAATAAATAATAAGCCATCTTTGGATCTCATAATGTCGACTTTACTGGAAGAAAAGACTAAATTCCGTCGTGTATACCATATTAGGCAATCAAATATGTTTCTTTGTTTGAACAAAATACTGTATTCAGATAAAGCTTATTCTTATGGATATTTTTTGAAAAAATTTTAAAAAAACAATGCACATTTTAAAATTAATGAGGGATAGTATATATCATCATAAGTTCTCTCAATACATTCCATTGTACAGTGATTGTCTCATTTGAAAGAATAGTTGCATCAATGTGGGCTGTACTACCTTACATTGTAAAACATAATCTTTTTTCATTTAACAGTTTTTAAATTTATTTAACAGTTTTTAAATTAATACTGTTACGCTAATTTAATATATCTAATCATTTCTTTCGACATACATTTTATAAATAATTTATAAATAAAATTAGACTTCCTAAGCCCATAAAAATGAGTGATGAGACCAAGCATTTATAAACATTTTTTAATGGTATTTATTTATTCAGTAAGAACCTCAGATTTAAAACTAAAATAAGCTAAAAACAGGTAACACAGCTTTAAAGAAATGAATATAATATTAAGAAACTTGGGGGTAGGAAACATAATATGCTTTGACCAATGCAATAATTTTACATAATAACATTTTTAAGGAAGAAAATAAAAAATTTAACCATTATAAAAAATAGCAACCTACATCTTGAATAATCTTCTGGCCATCTTCATAAGTAGGAGTTTTTAAACCTTCTTCTATTGCAGGCATAAAAAGTAATTTGTTGCTAGCAACTTTGTACGATAAATCATTAGAACCAGTTGAATAGCGTCCTGAAAAGGCATAAAATGATAGTTAACACAAATATATCACAAAAAACTCATCATTGAGCAAACAATTCTTTATTATTGCCTTTAAATTCCTCTGACTCAGTGGCCAAATAAGGCAAGTTTTAATTTTTATGACCTGGTTTCTTCAAAGATGATTTGTTAGACTACAAAATCGGTTTTCGTTTTTTCTACCCTTATATGTTTATCTGAAAACACCATAGTGTATATATTTTGGACTTTCGATAATGATTTTAAAAATATATATCATAAAAAATAGATTATGCTACACCATGTTTATATTTTTGAGAGAATTTCCTTCCTTAAAATACAGAGGTTACTTAGTTTGGTAAAGATGGAAATATAGCTTAACTACTACATGGTCATGAAATTCTAGTCTGTAAAAATATAACTTAAATTATATTTTTAATATAATTCTTGTTTTAATATTCATGATAATCTAACTTTTATTTTTTGGCACCCTAACCCCATTCCTATGTCTCATGTATGCAAACGACAGAGACAGACATCAATTAAACAGTAATAAATCTGGAATAAGATAATAAACGTGATAAAAGAGTTAAATAATAACATCAGCCTTTTTAGTCTCATTAACAATCAAAAATTACATCATTTATAATGAATCAGAAAAGAAAGTAAAAACAAGCAAGTTACTAGTGGATGAGCTTTGAGCATCATGCAGAGCCTCAATATGAGCAGTGTACAATAAGGCCTGTAAATCAGCTCCTGAAAAATATTCTGTTTTAGCAGCAATAAATTGAAAATCAACATCTTCATTTAAAGGCAACCTGGAGGACAAGCATTTTAAAATGTCCAGTCTCTCTTCCTATATAAAAAGAAGTCAAAATATAAATATAGTTGATTATTGGTAATTATTACAAATTTTAAGGAAGTCAAAAGACATACATATTTAACTACTGCTAATAATAACAAATTTTCTTTTAATTTTAAATATATTAATTAAGAATAAAGTTATACTAAAATATAAACCTATATAAATAAAGTTAAATAAACCTAAATTGAAATGTGTTTATTAAATAGCAAATGCACATTGCTAAAGGAAAGCTCTAATTTTCACATCCCTTTGAACCACATTTAGTTCTTTTTCTTTTTAATCAATTTTCAACATAAAATAATAATTTACATACATTACCCTTTCATAAAACAAAACAAAAATAGTATTGACTTAAACCAGTGTTTATTTCTTTTAATACAAAATCAGTTGATTTAAATCATGCCAGCCCTGTTAAAAATTAGCCATTTTTAAACAAATTTAAACTCTTGAAATTAAGCACTGAATCTGTAAAAGAAATCAACAATTGAAATGAACACAAAAAACACTATAAATTAAAAAATATAGGATGATACCCAGTTTTAGATGTATTATAAAAAATTCATAAAGCATTGTTTATTTTCATGCTAAGTCATTCATATTTCAAAAAAAAATTAGCAGTATTTTTTACTGCTAGAGCCATGTTTCCATATTGAGCAAAAATGCAGTTTTCACATAACTTATAGTCCTCAAATATCAGTTTAGTTTTTTCTCTTTTTTTTGTAAAATGTCTTCATTTAAAAAATAAACTTGTTTTTATGGTTTATTCCCATGTAAATTTACCTTTTCCCCCTTCATTCCTAAGAATCTTTTCAGCAACGTATCCTGGAAAATACCTAAGTTAGTTAGATAGATATTGAAGATTATTTAATTATTTCTTATATCTTTGAAAATATTCCAAAAACAATTTACGGTGTCAAGCTTCATCATTAAGGTACCCTTCCTGTAAACGGACAACTCTCATAAACAGACAATTTTTTCCGTCTCAAGAATATCCGCTTAACCGAGATTTCACTGTATATATATATATTTAAAAACAAAGCGAATTCACCATTATTTACATTTTTGTTAATAACTAAGTGAAATAATAAAATTTTGCTGAATCAGGAAATCATTACAATACGAAAAAAGTAATCAAAATCAAGCTCTCATTTTAATACCGAGAAAATATTTTAAATAAATATAGATTTCATTTTAATAATTTCGTACTTCAGATGGAAGTGGGCAAAGAATACATTTGTCTAAACGACCAGGCCTCAGTAATGCAGGGTCAATCAACTCAGGTCTACTAGAAGCAGCTAACACGTGTACACCTGCAAAACATTACAATATATTAAGACAAAAAATATACATATAGTTTAAACAAGAACAACAAAAGAAAGATATTTTTAACAACAAAAAAAAAGAGTTTATGCACAAAAAAAAGTTTGCAATTATGTAAAACTAATACTGAACATGTCATGATTTAAAACAGAAGTAGATAAGCTCATACCTTCTAATGATTCCACGCCATCTAACTGAGTCAATAACTGATTCACAACTCTATCAGTTACCCCTGTGCTATCATGACCACGCCTAAATTATACAGACAAATTTAGATCAAAATATGTGTATTCATTTAAGTTTTGTGAAAAATCATTAAAATAATTTATATAAAAAACTTTTTTAAAAAAAAGCATTTTATGAAAAATGGAAGAATGCTTTTTTATATGGGATATAGAATAAAATATTTTCATCACTCAATTTCCAAAAAATTTTTTATAATAAAAAAATTTCCTAAAGGTCTAATATTTGAGATACTATATTCTATTACAAAGTTAGACTTGTAGACATGTATTAGAATTTCAAAACATATTTTGAAACAAACATTGTTCACTAGAAAAATTAAAACTTTTTCTTTTCATAAAGCTTTTATTATAATAACTTTGAAGTACTTAAAATTAACGAAGCAAGTTAAAGCATAAAAAAAACAATTGCCAAATTTTTTTTCTTTAAAAAATTTAGGTTTTACTCCTCAAACAGTATAGATATACTATTATTATTGAAAAAATAATTCATTGTAATGGAGATAAAACTTTTTAAAAATTTTAAACACATCAGTGTTAAAATTCTGAACAATTAATATGATCTCCTTAGCAAGAAAATATGACACAATGTTTTTTTTTTATTTAAATTGATTCACACCTTTTATTTATGTCCTTTTTTATATTTAAAATATGACAAAAAAATAATTATTAAATATCACAAACGTTTTAAAAGAAAAATATAGTTAAATAAACATACCTAGGCGCAATAGAATCAAATTCATCAAAGAAAAGAATGCAAGGTCTTGCTGCTGTAGCTCTAAAACAAAAATAAATGAATTTAATTAACAACAAGACATTGAAAAGCCAATAGTTTAATACATAAAATAAAAGAAGTTTTAAAATAAAGATGCATAATTTAAATTTTTTACAGTGTTCTCAGTTTCATGTTCCTACAAAATAAAGAGCCCCTTGAAAAATTTTAATAAACTAAATCAAAATTGGTAATTACATATTATATCATAATTTTAATTGTAAGCTTATGTAACAACATATATGAGGCATACGCAGATACTCAAATACATTTATTATTTCTATATAATCTACCCTATTTAACTGTTTCATAGTATCCTATAAGAAAACAAATAAATTTTTAATACATTTTGTTTGGAATAAAATTAAAAGCAAAAAAAATTTATTGAAAAATTGCATTTTTTTGTAAGTTCTAACTGAATGTCATAAAATTTAAAAAATAAATAATATTACTATCATCTATAACAATTGAAAACTAATGCAAAAATAATGAGAGCTGGTAATTATGTATCAAAAATTAATTTTTCCTCATCATTCATTATAAGCTTACACTGTAAGCAAACCTTCTCATAAAAATATTTTTTTAATATACAAAATAATTTTTTTTTTCAGATTCTAAACTGCAAAATTTCAGCAAACAAATGTAAGCTTCTAAGCAGAAATGCAATCAAAAATTATAAAAGATCAGACTAAATTGTGCTGCACTATTAGATTTAACTGAAAATATTACTACAATTACAGTGTTTTTCAAAGCACTTTGGTTAAGAAACAATGAAAGAGCCACAGTTTAAGTGACTTACATTTGAAGCAAGGCTATAATTTTAAACTATATATACTATTTTGCTGTACATAATTGTGTGGGTTTCAGAATGGACAAGTATTTTTTTTTAAATCGTCAAGCAAGTATTTCTAACTAGATAAAAATAATTGTAGCCAATGAATGATTCTTAATTTTTCTTAATTTTTATGAGCCAGATAAGGCAGTGTTAGATTATAACCCTCATTGAACAGGGTATCCAATTTGTGAGTTTACGACTACTAATGTTCTACTCTGTAACCTTGTAATTTTGAGCTCAATCCAGAAAACAAGGGAACTCCTGGACCAAGTATCGGGATAAATTTGTCTTTGTGAAGGACTTTTTAATGGAATCAACACACATTTGTGTTACATGGTGAAGAAAACCTCCTACGGTTAGACTCACGGCAAGGGGACTCTAACTCATGATCTGTCTACCACTAGCCCATGATCTGTCTACCACTAACCCATGATCTGTCTACCACTAACCCATGATCTGTACCACTAACCCATGATCTGTCTACCACTAACCCATGATCTGTCTACCACTAACCCATGATCTGTCTACCACTAACCCTCTGTCTACCACTAACCCATGATCTGTCTACCACTAACCCATGATCTGTTTAACCACTAACCCATGATCTGTCTACCACTAACCCATGATCTGTCTACCACTAACCCATGATCTGTCTACCACTAACCCATGATCTGTCTACCACTAGCCCATGATCTGTCTACCACTAACCCATGATATGTCTACCACTAGCCCATGATCTGTCTACCACTAACGCATGATCTGTCTACCACTAACCCATGATCTGTCTACCACTAGCCCATGATCTGTCTACCACTAACCCATGATCTGTTCGACCACTAACCCATGATCTGTCTATCACTAACCCATGATCTGTCTACCACTAACCCATGATCTGTCTACCACTAACCCATGATCTGTCTACCACTAGCCCATGATCTGTCTACCACTAACCCATGATCTGTCTACCACTATCCCATGATCTGTTTGACCAATAACCCATGATCTGTCTACCACTAACCCATGATCTGTCTACCACTAGCCCATGATCTGTCCACCACTAACCCATGATCTGTCTACCACTAACCCATGATCTGTCTACCACTAGCCCATGATCAGTCTACCACTAACCCATGATCTGTCTACCACTAGTCTATGATCTATCTACCCCTAATCCATGATATGTCTACCACTAACCCATGATCTGTCTACCAGTAACCCATGATCTGGCTACCACTAACCCATGATCTGTCTACCACTAACCCATGATCTGTCTACCACTAACCCATGATCTGTCTACCACTAACCCATGATCTGTCTACCACTAGCCCATGATCTGTCTACCAATAACCCATGATCTGTCTACCACTAGCCCATGATCTGTCTACCACTAGCCCATGATTTGTCTACCACTAGCCCATGATCTGTCTACCTCTAGCCCATGATCTGTCTACCACTAGCCCATGATCTGTCTACCACCAGCCCATGATCTGTCTACCACTAACCAATGATCTGTCTACCACTAACCCATGATCTGTTTGACCACTAACCCATGATCTGTCTACCACTAACCCTCTGTCTACCACTAACCCATGATCTGTCTACCACTAACCCATGATCTGTTTAACCACTAACCCATGATCTGTCTACCACTAACCCATGATCTGTCTACCACTAACCCATGATCTGTCTACCATTGAGGATATTTTACATTACCACTGTGGTTAGTGCAAGAGGGTGTATAATACATATCAACAAGCTATTGCTGGCATTCAAACTCGGTTAACCTCATTGGAAGGTGAACGCTCTATACCCTGAGTCACCATGGCTCAGGCAGTGTTAGAGTAACTTTTTAAATAATAAAAAATTACATCAAACATGCTTTTAATTTTAACAAAAATGACTTGACTACTGAATTGACATTATGCACCATTTTCATAATTATCGCAAAGGGTGCTGTCTTAAAATAGGCTTAACTTGACCTAAAAGTCAACATGAACTATTGTAAATTCAAAGCAGTTATAAAAATAGCATATTATAATGCAAAGAAATATTATTTTGTGGCGCAACAGAGTTCGAAAAACACATTAAAAACTATGGACATAAACATTTATTACCTTTTAAAAAGATCTCTAATAGCTTGCTCACTAGCACCAATATATTTAGACAGAAGTTCAGGACCCTATAATTTAAAATGCTAATCATCAGCAAAAAAATGAAACAATGATTTACAATATTATTTTCCTTTTTAAAAATTTGCTATATACAGTAAACAAATAATAAATTTAATCATCTAACAAAATAATATTTGATCATCTAACAAATTCAATAACAAAGTTTAAATAGCTTTACAATGTTCACATAGTATAAGTACTTATAACACAAAATTCTTCAGATTTTTTATTTAGATTAATAAAAATAATGCAGAAGCTGACCTTTTAAATTTCAAGTAATCAATAAAACATAATTTTACTCCAAATTATAAAAAGTTATTAACAAAAAGGATGATTATTTTTTTGAAAAATAATTATTCTGTAGATCTATATATTCCAATTATATAAACCGCAAACCTTCTTAGACCACTTTAACTCTGTGGGTGTAAACAAAAAAATCCCCATTGAAGGAAAATCTAAAGATGAACAAAGCCATTAACTGTTCACAGGCTACAAGAAAAACTATTTGCTAAGAGGTATAAAGTAAATTTAAAATTGATGAAATTTTTTGTTATTACTTCTATTCACTTTATAATTTCATTCTTTTTTCTTCTTTAAACAAGACTTAAGTGCATGTTTTTGAATTTTAAAGTAATTTGCATCAAAAAATTTTTTTAAAACATTTAAAAATGTGCGTATTTCAGAGTTATGTTAAATAAAGGTCTTCTGTACATAACCCTTTGACGGTTAGGGAAACGAGCAGTTTTCGTTTCATTAATTTGTGCAGCATTACGAGCAAACAGTAGTCGAAAGTGGCAGCTGTTTTCCCCCGCCGTTCTTTCTAAAATTTCACCCTTCTCTGGCGGTGCCGTAGATAGCTTGCCTCAAGCGTTTTAAAAATTTCTTAAAGTATTTGTAGTACATAAATAACAGTTTATACATTCTTTAAAATAATTAATAAATTATAATTATTAATAGTAAATTATAAATGATTATAATCAATTATATAAATAATAGTTAATTATAAATACAAGACAAATATTAAATTGAAAAGACTAAATAAATACAACTAATGTATAACTTTATGAAGAATTTAAATACAGTAATTACCTAAATACTCTGAACAAAGTCTTTGCCAGACTCAAAACTTGATAAGCTTTCTGTATCACAATCATAATCATCATCATAATTATCTAACTTTCGCTTTTCAGCCATTTTACATTACAAACACCCTAAAAAAACACGCCAAAATACGCATAAAAAGAAGAAGGTAAAAAAATTAATTCCCCCTTCATTATGAAAAGAAGTTCCTGGAACTCGTACTGCCATCTGTAGACAGTAAAACTAACTACGTTTTTAACATAATCAATGCTGAATAATAATGGCGAACAAGCTCAGCTCGTCAGCGCGCATTGGCGAAAAATTTCACTATGCGAGGTAGTGCTCGCTACTTACCATTACGGTGAAATCTTGCTCCCGAGCGGAACTCGTTTGCGCACATTACGAAGCACGATTTGATTGCGAACCGAACTCGTTCATAGCCGTCAAAGGGTTAAAAATATGAAGCAAGTTTTGTCCAATGGAAAATATTTAAAGAGAGATATCATATCAACTACTAGTAAAGGAATGAGAATAAAACTAGTCAGATATTACTTTTATGCTAATAAAATTCAGTCCACATTCATTCGCAATTACTCCTGCCAGCAAAGTTTTTCCTGTTCCAGGAGCCCCATACAATAGAATATTAGTCTGTGGCTTCAAATGGTAGTTCTTGAAAATTTGTTTGTACTGAAACAATATTTATTAACAAAATTAGAAAAATTTATACTAAAAAAAGAAATCAAGTGATAAAAATAAAACAATGAGAACATGAAGAATCACAACAGTCTACAAGTGATTGCTATAAAAATAACTCAAGTCACAATATAATGAGATTAAACTTCAAATTTCATGCAATCAGTGCTGCTCTCTAACAGCCACTTACGCAACAAAAAGATTTTTAATTAAATAAATATCTGCTGTGAACAAAGAATTAACAACTATTAAATATCTGCATTGCCTGCACAAAATGCTTGAACGGTTTCCTTATTCAGAGAACGTTTCCTTTCATCTATATTTATTTTAGCTTAATAATTGATAATTTTAAGCAACTTGCATTCAGCAACTTGAACTATTTTATGTTAGTTTGATTGGAAAAAGCATTTTTTATTATACACANAATAGGTAGCGCCTGTGGTCAATAACAACAAAATAATGGTGAAGGCCCAACAATGAAGCCCCTACTGCATCCAACCAATCTACCTAACGTTTAAGAAAACAGTCACACTATACTTTATTTTACGAATTTTTATTCATAAAAACATAAATTTATGATTAGTTAAACTCATAGTTAAACAGGGTGCGTAGCCAAATCTTTCAATAAAAAATGAGCACCTTTTAAGTACTTTTTAAGCACTCAAATATTTCTAAGCACCATATACATTAACAAAATGCAAAATAATTTTCAGACTTTTAATGATCATGATAAAATAACTAGTTTTTGAAAAGGAACTCTTTTCTTGATTATATTAGCCATTAAAATATGATCAAGAGACTTTTCGGTTCGATTTCAGAGGGGGGGGGGATGAAGCTTGAAATTGAGAATATCTTGCAAAATGCAGCAGAGTTGCACATGAGAGTGCAATAATCTCAATGAACCCAGCTCACATCTGGACTCGCAAGTATTTCATCAAACCTGTAAAATAATTGGCGCTTTTATATGCTATGGACCGACGGTACGCTGAAATAGATTGTGTTTGAATGAATTGTGAAAAGCAAGCTTTTGCATAATACGGTGCGAAAATTGACACGGTGAAGAAAAAAAAATCTCATTTTCAAAGAGGGGAAATTAAGCACTTTTTTAAAAAAAACAATGAAAAAAGCACCTTTAAGGGCTTTTAAAAAACGAAAATCGAAAATAAACACCTTTAAGCACTTTTTAAAATGCTACACACCATGTAAGCACTTGGAGTTATTTTCAAAGACAAAGGACAATAAATTAACATGCTTCTACTCATACCATTTTACGATAAGAGTTTCTTGTCCTAACTCACATGAAACGAGCAGAAAGCAATATGGCAAATGAAAAATTTTCGTTATATTTTTCTGTCTCAGCAGAAAGTTCCGCAAACAAGATTACACGTAAGAGAACACGGAGATTTCACTACCTAAAAGATAGGGTGAGAGACCTTAAACTACCTGTCTTTTAACCTCAACCTAATTTGCATATAATTGATGATGATGCCAACAACTAATACATAAATGTAACCATTACAATGCAATTGAGAATACAAATATATGTTATACAAGACGTTCAAACATTTAACTTCCCGGAATTCTAAGCACTCAGAGTCATTTTCCAAGACGAAGAACAATCAGCTATCATGTTTCCATTGATACCATTTATGATATGAGTTTCTTCTCCTAACTCCAATAAAAATATATGTTATGCAAGATGTGCCAAGCCACAACTCTGCCCTCTGGTGACTAACCACATGACCACTAAATAACTGTAAGATTTAAATCTTAACAAAACCCTGAATTCGACAAGTACCTTCATTAAATGAAAGCTTTGTAAATGTCAACTGCCAGAATGTTACACACTGCGCACAAACTTTATATCTGATATTGGAGTATACACAAGTATATGTAAACCTTTTTTTAAACCCTTGAAATAGAGAATACTTCCAAATGATTTTTTTTGCCCAATATTAAACATTGTTATATCGATTGTAATTTTTTTTTATAACAACTCTATGTAAATAGACTTATATGGAAATAGACAAGAAAAAATTGATTTGTAACTAACTCATTCACCAATAGCAACTAACTGTATAACTTACTAATATTTCTGCTTCAACTTTAAAATAATTAACACTTCAATCTGATCTGTAAGGATGTTATTTATATTTTTCATTTCTTTTAAAATTTTAGGCAATTAATGTATAGTATAAAAGGAATAAATGTATAGTGTCTTAAATAAATAAATAAAGGAAAAAACATTGCTGGAATAATCTTACATATTTGTGAGGAAAAAAACTAACTAAAATACAGCTACAACTCACAGGTCACAAGAATAGCAAAAAAATTAATCAAAACTTTGTACATCTTTTACCCATAACACTCAAAACACACTGTTTATGTTGACTTCCAAATTGTTTCACTACTTATTTCAGGAATATAACAAAACAAAACAAAATTATATAAAAAAACTTTAAGAAATATGAATTCATAAAAAGAGCTTTCATTCATTTGTGAATTACTTTATACATTTATATTGTAAGCAAATCTATTGGAATGTATTCTACACATTTTTAAGTAAGAGGATACATAACAATATAAAGAGTTATCTTTAATGCCTTACCTTTATAGGCCAAGTGATAATTTGCTGAACAACTTTTTTTACATCACTTAAACCTCCAACATCCTGCCAAGACTTGTGCTCATGTGTTTGAAGAGGAATTCCCTGCAGGGAAGAAGGAATATACCCCTCCAATGCCATTTCCAAATCTTCCACATTTAATATCACTTCAAGTGCTTTATCACTATCAGCTAACGAAATACAAAGACATTTTTTTTTTACAAATTTAAAGCAATATATAAAAATAAAGAAATTAAATAGATTATTAATCAATTAAAATAACATTATTGTGAGTTTAAGAGAAGATTTAATCACAATATGGTGACTTTCAAAAATTTTTCATTTAATGGTAATATTAAATTTATTTAACTATTACCTAAATTAAAATCATATTCAAATAATTAAATATCAGGAAAATGTCTTTACTTTTAAATAGACTTTTAAAAATTTCATTAAGATAAAAATAAAACAATTTTTTCTAGACAAAAAAACAAGCTCTAAATTCTACAATCAAAAACAAAGGATGCTAAAGTAATCCTTTATTTCTTATGCTCAAACTATTTTAAAATTTAGTTAATTTTTGAGTAAAAGACTAAAAAAATTCATTTTGAAACTAAATTAAATTTATATAGAATAGGCTGTAACACCAGCAACAGAAACCCTCCAGCACACCAGGGGCCATTGCAGATTATTACATCAACTGCAGATAAGATGTTCAGTCAAGTTTTTTTTTTTTAACTTTAAAAACAAGCGAACAAATGGAGGGAAATTGCTGAGACTTCTTTTTTAAAACACTCTGAACTAGTTTCTAATAAAAATTAAAATTATGAATTGATAGAAGAAACAAAGAAAGCAAAGAATTTTTTTCTGTTGTTTAATTCCAAGCTTAACTGTTTCCATTTTTCTAAGAAACTATATAAAATTTATATGAAATGTAATTCAAATTTAAACACATTTAAACACATTCAAATTTTTATGAGTAAAGACCTTATATTAGCATATTTTCTAACATGTTTGTTTAATAAGCTGAATTTTTACAATAATAATCTCTGTCTGACTGTGATGAGGTCGCTGACCACCCTGAATAACTTTTTATCTAATGATCGGATCTTCAAGTTATAGGACTCAATCTCAAAGGTTTGAGTGGATGATTTCAAAACTATATTTTAAGTTACACAATCAGACTCAAAATCAAACTTTCCATGAGAAAACATACGGATTCGAAGGGGATTTGGATTTCTGAACCCTAAAATATAAGGGGGCAGCTACAATCTGGGAATAATGGTTTCCCTAGTTTGGTCAGAAGAGCGCTCCAAAGTTTGGACCTCTTAATGTTAATTTTAATTTTTGCACATTGCTCACAATTATAGAATTTATTTATTCAAAGACAATTCTAAAAAAAACATTTCAGTAACTATTTATTATTTTATACAATGATAGTCAAAAAAAATTTTTGAATTGTAAGGATTAAAATTTTTTGCATCATTTTAAACTATTTAACTTTGCATGGCAAAATCCAAAATTTGAGCCAAATTGTTGAATAGTCACTGAGAAAATTAATTTTAAATGTACAACTTCTTTAAAATTCGATTTTTCAGAAACCATTCAACCGATTTCATTCAAATTTCATATTTTGCGATACAAAATTAAATACTTTAAAATTATGCAAAAAATAGCATACCTTGCAATTCAAAAATATTTTGACCATCATTAAATAAACTAATAAAAAATAATAAATATTTTCTAAAATTTATTTTTGCATAGAATTATCTTAGGATAAATAAATTTCATAATTGCACAAAAATTGTTCATTTCAGCAAAAAAGTTCTCGAGATATAGCGAAATATGCAAAAAGTAAAATCAATATTAACAAGTCCAAGCTTTGGATCGTTCCCCTGGCCCAACTGTGGGGAATGTATTTCCCAGATTGCATCTACCCCCTATATTTCGGGGGTCAAAAAGCCTTATCCTATGGGGAAAAAAGTATTCTTATTCAGAGAAAGTAGGTTTTTGTGTCTGATTTCAGAATTTAAAATATCGTATGCACTAATTAATTAGCATATTTGAAGTCACTCCCTAAAATCATTAAGATTGAATCCTAGAATGTGAAGATTCAATCATTAGATCAAAAGTTATTCAGGATGGTCCATTTTTAAAGGCACTGTACAATTTGTTTGAATCATTTACTTGACTTCAAAATTTGAAATGGTATTGTATTAAGTTTTATCAAATCATTTCATGTTATCATACAAATATCTTAAAGTAGTATGAAAATAATTTCATTAGGTCAGCTTCAATAAAAATTTCAATTAGTTATTCCATTAAAAAATATTAAGGATGAACTACTATTTAGAGTTTAAAAACACCTAACAATTTTTATTCAAAATAAAAATTAAACAATGCTCTCGTTTACAGTTAAAGTGACTCTAAAAATTTAAAGGAACAGGTATGGGAGTCACTGAGTATTTAATTTTTCTTTCTGGGAGGAAGCAAACTTAAAATATTAAATTACAATAGTTATCTAACATAAAATAAAAAAATAAAAAGAAATTGAATGAATTAAACAATGTATAAAAAGAAATTGAATTTCCTCAAAGTGCTAAATTTCTGCAAAATGATTAATTTACTTTAATGACTTGAATTTAATTTGATGATAATTCATGAACATTTTTTTATGTGTTTGAAGTATGAGAAAAGGGATTCTTTGATATTTAGAATTATCAAGGAGAACATTGTACATTCTACTCTCAACTCCTCTCACAGGGACAAAAAATGTACACAATTTTATTAGGAGAATTAAATATTTTTAAAACTGATAATAATTCTGACAGTACCAGATTTTAGGTAATCAAAGATTTTCAAAAGTGAAAAATATATTAATATAGGCTATGCAACATACAGATAAAAAAACCTTTTAGATGAAGATAGTGAAATTTTTAATACATCATACCATTTCTAACCCAAGCAGCATGGGTAGCTCGATCGACCAGTGAATCTAAATCTTGTGCAACATAGCCTTCTGTTTTAGTAGCAACTTTTGACCAAGAGACAGATTCAATACTTTGATTAGAGATATGATCTTTTTTAATTACAAGAGAACACAAAATTTCTTCCCGCTCTTCCTGAGAAAAAAAATTTCACATTTTTAAAACTTAATTACTTAACATTTCCCCTTAAATGAAACAAGGAAACACAAAAATTAATATAAAATGTAAATGTTTATACAATAAAAAATAAGGGGTTGAATATGGCATTGCTCAAATAAAAGAAAGCATATTATTTATTGGGTNGTATGTTGCTGTATTGTGGGTCATTTTGCTGCCTTGTAACTTACAAGACTTTTGTAAGATAACAAAAATTGAAAATGTATCACGAACATTAACGGGAAAATGGCCGTCCGCGCGGACGTCGGATTCGAGAAATTAGTTGCCCGCGGAGAATTTTTGACAGTCGAGGACGGGCGGACGGGCTGTTTTTCGAGCCTTGGGTTGAATATGACATTGCTCAAATAAAAGAAAGCATATTATTTATTGGGTGATTTATATAAACAGCAAGTAATTATAAAATATAAGTATTTATGATATTACAATTTTTTAATCATTTTTGACGAACATAATGATTCAAGACCAGGAATATCTCCTTTCGAGCCTGTTTTAAAATTTCCCTTTGAAGCCATACCAGGGGTGATTGTGAACCCAAGTCAAAATTCCAGAAAATTTCTTGAGTTCTTTTTTTTTTTTTTTTTTTTTTTTTTTTTTTTTTTTTTTTTTTTTTTTNCAATTTAAATTGAAAAATTAGAAAAAAATTTAAACAAGGTTTTTTTTTTCCTTTTCCTCAATATTTCTTGGTTTACTTAAAATATACTTAAAATTTTACACATACCTATACCATTTACACATACCTATGATGACCTGGAGAAGTAATTACAATTTACAAACATGTCTTTCTTTCTTGAGTTTATGATTATGACAACTATTTACTGATAAAAAATGAATATTAATCAAGAATATAAGCTTATAAAGTATCTCTCTGACTCTCCCTTAGAAACAAATAAAATAAACTGTGTTCTTAAGTTCCACCTTTGAAAATTTGATTTCCGGAAACTTCTACGATCAATGATTTTTTTTAAATGTCTGGACCTTCGATCTCCGAAAACTTCCGGATCACTATTAGCAAAAAAATCCAGAAATCCGGATTTTTCCAGAGCACAATCAGCCCTGCCATACTTAACATGTAACTTTAGTTTACCACAGTAACAAGCTTTTTTCATATGCTTTGTTAGACTCAAAACCACAATCCTTTACACATTTTAAGCGAGATTGCAAATTTCTCACGTTTTAAAATTTAGGAAAGATATCTATGGATGGCAGTCATGAGGAATTTTTCCCCTAGTTCATTTATCGAGAGAATCGATAAATGGCGTTAGATGATTGAATTTCCTCTTTTAGGGTTTTTAGTAGGCAAATGGGTGCATGCCAATAATAAAAAAAATTTTGTGATCAATCTTCAGTTCAACTTCGCAATACATAAAAAAAAACTTATAAAACACTAAGAGTGAAATTAACTTAATTTATTTTAAATAAAAATTAAAATAAAGAAACATACCACATCTGGAGGTTTAATGTCAATGGTGTGATGAAATATATGCCTGCCTTTTGTGTTCATTAAAAGAGGGTGAAGAGAATGTGTAGACTGGGCTGTAGCAATGATACACAATTTGCCATCAAAATTTCTCACTTTATTCTCTAAATGTATGAAAGCTGAAATGAGTAAAAATAAATTAATCAATAAGACATGAAGGATATATAATACATCCATATATTTTTCAAATCACATCAATAGTTTGCGAAACTACAAATATCCATCCTACATATTTATTAATGCATTCGCTTAAAATAATTAATAAGCAAACAATCCCTAAATTCATCACCATAAAAATTTGATAATATAAAATTTGTTAATTGATCATTTGTTTCTTTACAAAGAATGACTGCGAATTCCCAAAAAGGTTTAAAAAATGAATCCCCTGAGTAAGGCCTGAAACATGTATATAATTAGTATTCGATCCCAAATTTGAACTATTAAATTTTGCAATTTCCACTGGCATTATTAAAATAAAAAGATGTTTTATCAAAAATCAAACTACAATTCGTCAGATTTATTTTTAAAAAATATGCAATTATATTCTAAGAAAGTGGGATGTACCGAACACACAGAAAAATCAAGAATATCAGGACAAAAAACTAAAAATCAGGACAAATGAGGTTGAAATATTTTTCATAACGAAAACCAGGACAACTATGAACCCTGACAGCACCTTAGCTAGTACTTCTCTCTCCAAACTTTCCCATCACACTAATAAAAGGACTCTCAGTCACAATAGTGCACTTCGCTGCACATTCACAATGGTTGCCAATAATTAAATCCTGGATTATATAAGCTTCGGCTATAAACCAGTGGTGTGAATTTCACCATTGGAGTAATTTATTTTGCTTTTCGTTGTTCAAAGAAACAAAACAGAACTTAAAAATTTTTGTCAATGAAAGTGAAAAATCGGTTTCAGAGAAAGCAAAATTAATGACAGTGAGTAAAAACATGATGATACTCCACTTAAAACTATCTCCACCTCTTCTAATGCTTTGTAAATAGATGAAGAGTAAGGTAAAATCCAGTGATTTTTAATACAAATTAAATTTTCAGAAAGAAAAAGCAAATTCATATGTGAATAATGGTTTTAAAATCAAACCTATCAGAAGAGAATAAAATATTTATAAGAATTTCTCATTAGTTTTAATCATATCTATTTTACTTACCTTGTACAATATTAGAAAAATACAATCCATCAGGTCCAGCTTCTTGTTCGTGTGATGTAGGACAACCAGCAATAAAGTCAAGATCTTCAAACAATATAACTGATGGCTGACAATAAGCTGCTTCTATAAGGCACTCATCCCACTTTTTTGCAATAGTATCTACACGCTTTCCTTAAAAACAGTAAAATAAACAGTTTTCATGAATGAATGAATGAATATATATACATATATAACACATAAGTGAGTAACACACTGAGAACTTTTTTACAAAACAATAATGTAATATCCAGTGGATCTAATCAATTATTCAACTATTTAGAATGCTTCATTTTTTCAATTCAATATTTCCTGCTAACGATGAATAAATTCACAAATAAATTATATAAACATAGAAGACTGGAAGAAAATATATTAAACTATTTTAGTTCTTTTATGGTGATAGTTAACTTAGAAATTAAGTTGATTAACTATTTAAATAAATAATAACAACTAATTGGCATGAATAGTTCAGCTTAGCTATACAGTTAATTAACTGTTCAACAGTAAATTAAGCAAAACTCTTGCAAAAACATGATACTGCCTGAATGCTAACTCTGTGAAATATTACAAACAGATACACAATCAAAGTATCGAAACAAAATAAATTAAAATAGTATTCATAGGATTAATATTCAAAGGTCTCCTTTATTCAAAGATAATTTCATGAAATTTTTTTTCACTTAATTAATTACTTTATTACTTAATTTAATCATGGTTGAAAAATTTTTGAACTGTAACGTTTACATTTTTTAATTTTTTTACATAATTTTAGACTATGTAACTTTAAATGTAAAAGTACAAAATTTGAAAGAAATCCTCTAAATAGTTTCTAAGAATTAACATTTCAAATATATTGCACTTTTAAAATTTCACTGCTTAAAAACTATTATAAAGATTCTATTCCAATTTTTGAATTTTAGTTCATGCAAAAACATGATTCTATCTGAATGCTAAGCTCTGCAAAATATTACGAACAGATACACAATCAAAATATCACAATGTAATAAAAAAAATAGTATTCATAGAATTAGTATTAGTAATGTAATTAGTATTGTAATAAATAGAAATAGTATTCATACAATTATTATTCATAGGATTAATATTCAAAGGTCTCATTTATTCAAATATTATTTTATGTAAATTATTATTTTTTTTAAGATTATTCATTACTTTTATTTAATTTAGTCATGGTTGAAACATTTTTTAACTGTAGGGTTTAAAAATTTTTTTTACATAATTTTAAATAAGGTAATTTTAAATGTTAAAAAACAAAATTCGATAGAAATCCTCTATCTGAGTACTAAAATTTCAAAAATGTTGCATTTCTTAAGTTTCACTTCTCAAAAACTATTCTATGGACTCTATTCCAATTTTGGATTTTGTCATTTAAATTTACACAGCTGTTGAGTGGAGAGTTATGGGAGACATGCGGCAGTGTAACATAACAATAATGTAATGAATTTACATACCTTAAAATGAAATAAAAACTTGTGCACTTTGCAATTAAAAAAATTTCTACCAAAATGATAATAATAAAAAATATTAAACATTTTCAGCATTAAATTACCTTTAGATAAATCACTTTTATAATTTATGTGCAAAATATTGTGTGATTAACTTTAACACTTCCAGGGGTATAACAAAATGTACAAAAAGTGAAATCAACATAAAGGGAATTCAAACTTTTAGCTGCTTTCCAGACCAAAGTATTGGAATTATGTTTCCCAGGTTCTGACTACCCCTTTAATTTGTGGGATTGATGGGAAATGTATGTTAATTTATACAAAGCATGTTTTGGGTGTGAAATTTTTTTAAACTTAAAATATCATTTGCGCAAATTAATTAACATATTTAAGGGTAGGAAATGGAAACCTCTTAGCAATTGGAAATCTGATTAGTAGGTTGAAAGTTATTACAGTGTTCTTTGTTAGATTTATGCACTAATTATTTAATAACATGGTGAAATATAAATTTTTGTTGATTGAAAATTTTGAAACATATTTTAATGTTCTGGAATTACACATCAATGACAAAAATATTTAGAAAATTGCAACAGAATAATTTTCTTATTTCTTTAATTCAAGCATAAAATATCAATAAAACTATTTTGAAACTAGAAACATTATTTATTTAAATTGTTTCTTCTAACAACTGTATAGAAATTAAGGGAAACACCCATTGTCACATGTGACACTGTATTATATCAGCTGATTCTAGCAGTTCAATTAAACAATGTTATAAAACACATTTAAAATTTCCTTCTTAAACTTTAACTATTTGTTTTCGTTATGTTTGTGATAATTATTATTGTATAAGTTCTTATTTTAGTGAAAAAAATATGAAAAAAAATAAATTAAAAAAGTATTTAGAAAGTGATTTTAAATATTTCTTTTTTAACTAAAACATGAGATTTCACACTTCTTATAGCCACCATTGTCAAAATTTCACAAACCCCTTCCCCCCACCAAGTGTGACATAATTATGGTTCTTATAACTAGAAATAGATACTGTCTTATAATATATAACAAGCTTACATTTTTTTTCTTCATAAAGAAAATAAATATAATAATAAGATCCAATCAGTAAAATACAAAATCTGATCATTTTAAGACTTAAAATTAATAAATATATGATTCAAATTAAATTACAAAGATCATAAAGTTTTACCACACCATACAAGGACCTGAAAGTAAACATCACAATTATTCACTTAAAAACATGTAGTTTAAAAAAAAATGTGACAGTTGCGTTCTACTTTAACTTTGTATCTAACATTGTAAAAAAATAAAGACTGTGGTTGAACTCACCTTTATATGGTAAGCAAGAGATGATTTTAACAAAAACATGGTAATGATTAGCTAATTTCTTACAAAGAGCTGTAGCAAATGAACTTTTACCAACACCTTTTGGACCACAGATTAATAAGCTTCCATTAAAAGTATTTGGATGATTTGAAACATAACTGAGAGGTCGAAGCTTTAGCCAAAACTCTAATATTTCAAAAGCTTGTTCAGACAGCTTCTTCACACCCCTGAAATATTAAAACTATATTAATATACATTAAAATTATGAAGAAAAATTTCATAGACTCTAAATTAATAATAATGTAAATATTACAAACTAGAATAGCAAAAAGACTGAATTTAGAATAATTCTGAACTTAACTTTCTCAAAATTTAAAAATAAAAAAACTGATTCCTTAGGATTATTAAAATTGAATTAATGTTGGCTTTTCAGAAAAGTTAAGAACAGTTTTTTCATGTATTAAGTATAAATAACTATTGAGATCATTTTAATTAAATAATACTTACACTATACTCATAAAGAGAAAACTCTGATTCACTTAAACTTTCATAAACAAAACATATAATTCACGATTCAAGAGAAATCTAAATGTTTTTTTATTTACTGATTATGAAACCAGTGGATAAAGGTAAAAATACATAATTTTGTTACCACATTAGGAATGGAGATTTTAATTTAGTTGATTAATAGCTTAAAAACTCCCTCTCAATAACTCAAAAGGAACACCTTGGCCAGACGCAAAGGTTAACATAAGATTGTGGCTTAATAGACATATCAATGACACATTCGATTTTTTTTTAAAATTAGTAACTCTATGTCAACGTAAAATTATAGAAGATGTATCATCCCTTTTCTTTTTTACAGGTTTTACTTATTTTATTTATTTATGTGGCATTTATTTTTTAGCTGAAAATTTCTAGAATTGAGGAAATGTAGAAGAATTCATAGCAGTGGAAATGTAGTGGAATGTATATGTAACTACATGTATTTTAAATAATAAAATAGAGTACTATCTCCCTGATCTTTTCTGTAAAACTGATAAAATCATCTTATGATTCAAAATAAATTAAGAACTATTAAAACATTGGTATAAATTGATGAAGATGTAAATTGAAACTTATGTTAAATGACTTGGAACCTTACTTAATGAATGATAAAATAAATAAATTAATTAAATATGACACATAAATCTGTAAATAGTTAAATTTTTCAAACTAGCTACAGTGGGAATCTCAAACAACAAACAATAAATTAAAGAATATATGGGACATAAAAGTTTTTGTAGAAGAAAATGTACTTTATATAAATATGATTTTTCAATTTGTACTTCATTACTTATAAAAAAAATATTTTTAATAAGGTATTTAAGTTATTATCTTGATAAAAATTAATATAAACATAAAAATCTTAACATTAAAAAAAGTATAATTAAAACTTGAAAAACATTTTCTTTTTAAATATATATAGGGGAGAGTCGGGTAGCCCCGCTCACTTAAGGAGTATTGCTTATATTTCTGTATAATACTGAGTAATAATCAATATTTTTGTATGTTTCTATTGTTTGACCATATAATTAAATAATGCAAAGAGAATAAACCAAAAAAAGAATAGTTTAACTTAAAAAAATAGAAATTTAAAAAAACATGTTTTTCAGCTCTTTTCAAAATGCGTCAGGTAGCCCCGCCCAGTTACAAAAATTATGTTTTTTGGCTGTTTTTTCAGGAGTAAATGAAAGTGACCAATGTATTGACAATAGATAAACCTCATTTATCATTTTTATCAAAAAATTATTTTATTTATTACATATTTATGTACTTTTAGTGAATTCTATCATTTAATAACAA